CGATCTCCCGGAGACCTCCGCCACCAGGGGACGCAGACCGTACCACCAACACGGGTCCACAGGGGACTAGAAGTACGGCCCTCGATTAGCTGCATAGAGACGCAGACGGACAGCGAGTGGGAGGCGCCCACCGAGGAAAAGGGAACTCAGGCGTGCGCCCCGAGCTTTGAGGACCAGGCCACGCAGACGGAGGATCCGGACTTAGCCGAGCCGGGGACTTACACACCGCCCGGCACACCGCCGGCGTGGAGGAAGCCCGGAGCGTGGGGAGACCGACAGCCGCTCCACCGTACCAAGACGCAGCCGTGCCTGGTCTGGAGTGAACGCCTGCCAGCCTCCTAAGGAGAAACCAACCGGCCCTTTTCAGGGCCACATAACACAAACGGCCCTTCTCAGGGCCCCCAAATATCTCTAACGAACATCGCCATCTCGCACGAATTTTGGCCTACCGCCATAACTGGTGACCCCGACGAAAGAACAACAAGATGGCGATATCAAAGGAGCAAACGGAAGGGGACCGAACCGACCAAGTCAAGGAGGAGCTCCAGATAAACCGCGTAGGATTAAGAATGCCACCATTCTGGCCAGAAGAACCGGAGCTGTGGTTCGCACAACTGGAGAGCCAGTTTATCATATGCGGAATCACGCAGGACACAACGCGGTACGCCTACGCGCTATCACAGATAGATACCAGATACGCCAAGGAAATAAAAGACATCATCACGTCTCCACCAGCGGAACATAGATACAAGACGCTGAAAAAGACGCTCATACAGCGCCTATCTACATCCCAGGAGCAACGAACGAGACAACTACTAAAGCGCGAAGAACTCGGCGACAGGAAGCCATCGCAATTCTTGCGCCACCTAAAAGGACTAGCGGGCACCGCAGTGCCAGATAGCCTACTCCGAACACTGTGGCTAGGGAGATTACCAGCTCAGATGCAGGTCATCTTGGCAACTCGTCAAGGAGATCGATTGGAAGACGTCGCAGAACAAGCCGACCGCATACACGAGGTCAACGACCGCGCAGTCGTCGCAGCAGTAGAGGCAACCTCCACAGAAAAAACGACGCTACAAGCACAAATCGAGGCGCTAACAAAACAGGTGGCAGCGCTAACAACTCAGTTCTCGCAGGAGAGGAAACGATGGAGAGCGGACCGATCCCGCAGCCGCAGCCGCAGCCGCAGCCGCAGCCGCAGCCGCAACCGTGGCCACACCAAGGGTTTCACGGTGGAACACTGTTACTACTACCGTACCTTCAAAGATAAAGCACGAAAATGCGAGGAACCGTGCACCTACAAGGCGATCAAACCGGCCAAGCCGGAAAACACGGAGGGCAGTTGCTGATGGCGGCCAACAACGATAGCCCACGACCACGCCGCCTCTTCCTGACGGACAAAAAGACAAAGACACGATACCTGATAGACACCGGGTCGGATATAAGCGTCTACCCACACCAGCGAGGAAGAAGGAATCAAAAGGAAAAATACAAACTCTACGCAGCCAACGGATCCGCAATAGCAACCTATGGGAGCACGAACCTCCAGCCCGATTTCGGACTTAGACGAGATTTTCCATGGAGATTCATCATAGCGGACGTCACGACGCCAATCATAGGCTCCGATTTCCTGGCATACTATCACTTATTACCAGACGTCAGAAGAGGATGCCTGGTCGACGGGCAGACAGGCCTGCGAGCAAAAGGGCGCACCCAAGAGCAGCACACTTCTTCAATAAAAGCAATCAACGAAGAGTCGCCTTACCACCACATATTAAAAGAGTTTCCCGTCATCACACGGCAATCGGGAACAGCGAAGTGCTCGTACAATACCGTGCATTACATAAACACCACGCCAGGCCCGCCGGAGGCCTGCCGACCGAGACGCCTGGCACCAGACAAGTTGAAAGCAGCAAAAATAGAGTTCGAACTACTACTACGAGAAGGAATAATCCGGCCTTCAAAGAGCCCATGGGCATCACCACTACATATGGTCCCCAAGAAAGCGGAAGCAATGGAGAGCGTGCGGAGACTACCGCCCTGTAAATAGGCGAACCAAGCCGGACATGTATCCAATTTCACACATCGAGGACTTCTCACACTCGCTACATGGAAAAACCATCTTCTCAACGATAGATTTGGTAAGAGCATACAACCAGATCCCAGTCAACCCAGAAGACATACCGAAGACGGCCATAATCACACCATTCGGCCTATTCGAATACGTCTACATGCCATTCGGCCTGAGAAACGCCGCACAGACATTTCAACGATTCATCAACGAGGTACTAAGAGGGCTAGACTTTTGCTACGCCTACATCGACGATATTTTAATAGCTTCCGCCAACAAAGAAGAACACAAACGCCACCTGAGAGAGGTATGCCGGCGCCTACAGCAGTACGGAATACGATTAAACCCAGCCAAGTGCATTTTCGGGATGCCAGAGGTAAAATTCCTGGGATACCTCGTCTCAGGAAGCGGAACACGACCGCTACCAGAAAAGGTAGAAGCGATACAGAGCTTCCGGAAGCCGGAGACTATAAAACAACTCCGACGATTCCTCGGCACAATCAACTTCTATCGCCGTTTTGTACCAGGCGCAGCAAGAGAGCAAGCAATATTAAACGACATACTTGCCGGGAAACAGAAGAAAGGGAAAGCACCGGTTGAGTGGACACCCGAATTAGTAGCCGCTTTCGAGCATTGTAAGAAGAGCCTTGCCCAAGCGACGCTTCTTGCCCATCCACAACCTGATGCCCCGCTAACGATGACAACGGATGCCTCGGATACCGCCATAGGAGCGGTGATACATCAGCTAGTGAAAGGACAAGCACAGCCACTAGCGTTCTTCAGCAAAAAGTTGTCCAAAGCACAACAGAAATACAGCCCATACGACAAAGAACTACTGGCAATATACGCAGCGATAAAACACTTTCAACACATGGTGGAAGGAAGACACTTCATCGTATACACTGACCACAAACCACTGGTATACGCAATGATGCAAAACCCGCTGAAGAGCTCACCAAGGCAAGCTCGACATCTCGAGTTTATAAGCCAATTCACAACGGACATCCGGCATATCAAAGGCACCGATAACGTGGTAGCCGATGCCATGTCTCGAGTAGAAAGCATAGCAACAACAATAGATTGCGAGGAAATAGCGAGAGCTCAAAGCGAGGACGAGGAACTCAACACCTTACGAACAGAGGGCACGTCAGCATTAAAACTAACGCAAATCAATATTCCGGAAACAACAACGAAGCTGTACTGCGACACCACACACGGCACACAGAGACCGTTCGTTCCAGAGCCATACCGCAAGCAGGTTTTCCAAAGCCTACACGGATTATCACACCCCGGAATCAAAGCAACCACGAGACTGGTCACAGAACGATTCGTTTGGCCAGGAGTCAATAAAGACTGCCAAAATTGGACACGAGCATGCCTCCAGTGCCAACGCTCCAAGATCGGGAGACACAACCGTCCCTCTATCGGGACATTCCTCCAACCGACTCGGAGATTCCAACACATCCACGTAGACCTAGTAGGGCCACTACCAACGTCGAAAGGCTACAGGTACTGTCTAACAATCATAGACAGATTTACACGCTGGCCCGAGGCAATCCCAGTAGAGGACATCACAGCAGAGACCATCGCGAAACAACTCTTCACCCAATGGATGGCCCGCTACGGGATCCCAGAGAGAATCACCACCGACCAAGGACGCCAGTTCGAGTCAGACATGTTCCGGCGTCTAATAAAGTTGACGGGAGCCAAGCACTGGAGGACCACAGCCTATCACCCACAAGCCAACGGGATGGTGGAGAGATTTCACCGACAGCTAAAAGCAGCCATCAGATGCCATCAGATGAGACCGATGAATGGACCGAAGCCTTGCCGATAATACTCATGGGCATCAGAGCGGCAATTAAGGAAGACATCAAAGCAACCCCAGCAGAAATGGTGTACGGAGAACCAATCAACTTACCTGGAGAATTCTTCGGCACAACCAAAAACAAAACAAACGAGACGGACTTCATCGGCCGTTTACGCAACCTCATGAGTCGTCTAACACCCAAACTAAAGCGGCATGGCAGGAAAGACGTGTTCGTACACCAAGATCTGGAAAAGACACCCTACGTTTTCGTCAGACAGGACGCGCCAACAGGCGCACTCCACCCCCGCTATAATGGACCATACGAAGTCATCAAGCGGACAGAGCGATTTTTTATCATTCAGACGGGAGGCAAACCTACGAACGTCTCGGTAGAACGTCTCAAACCGGCGTACACCCTCATAGAAAACGAAACGCCCTCAGCTACGGAGAACGAACAGAGGACCAAACAGGCAACTGAGCCCACACCAACAGCAATTACACGAAATAGCAGAACTCGAAAACCAGTCGTCCGATTCCAGGCGGGAGTTTAAATACAACGAAGGGGGTCCTGTGGCGGCTGCAAGCGCACCGAATCTGGTGGCGCAACCGCCACAACACAAGCG